TAAGAGTTTTATATTTGTAGGTCTTACATTTAGGTCATTGATCCATTCGAGTTCATTTTTGATATAGTGTAAGACAAGGGTCTAACTTTACGCTTTTGCATGTGGATATCCAGTTTTCCAGGCACCATTTTTTGAAAAGACTGCCCTTTCCCCTATTGTATAGTCCTTGCACCCTAATCAAAATTATTTGCCTATATATGCCAGGGTTTATTTCTCGGCTATCTATTGTTTATGTTGTCTTTATGTCAGTTCCTCACATTTTAGGTGTATACTTTTAAAAAAAAACTTAATATTGTCTTGACTCAGTTTTGAGGTCCAGGCTAAAGGCAAATCAGTCTTTCTTTTGGATTGGCTAATTATATTCAGATCTCAAACACTTTTCTTATTGGGGTCTCACACTCCAGGCCGCTGTATGCTAGCCAAAATTATTCATATTAATCCACAGGGAACTTGGGAAACAGTTTACCCAATTCACTGGCCAGATGCAACTGTCTATGGGGCTATGCCTATTTTTCTGTCATTCCTAGCTGTAGATAATAAATAGTTCTGCCTTTCATGTATCCAAATGACATTGGATTGTTTCCTGTGATCAAAAGAACTAAGAAATGAATTATGAGTGTAGTGAATGTTGGAAAGTCTTTTCCATTTAGCGTAACCTCATTTAGCACCAGCAAGTTCACACTTGGAGAAAGACTTCAGGAGTGAAGGCAATGAGGTCTTTCATTGTTCAACATAACTCAATGGAGCAAAGCTGTGAAAATGACCTTTGTAGAGATGTAGCCAACAATTAAACTTCATTCATCCAAACATCCATATTAGGGACATTCTCTGTATAGCCAGACATATGAGAAGGTTTCATGAGCTATGTCGCACGTTTGAACTTTCCTGGGGCCTTTGCCAGAGTTATGTCACTGCCAGTGCCTGTTGCAAAAGTCATCTCTACCAAATGGCAGAGAGCCACATTGTGTAATGCTTCAGCCACATTAATATGCTCTGGTATGGCAGCATACCATGTTCTCTCCCTTTATCTGGAGGGTTAGCGTTAGTGGAGGATTCACCAGTCATTTAAACACTTTGGGGGCATCATCTCCTCCCCTAAGATCTATTATATTTAGTTGTAAACACTGCTTTGACAGAGGACACGGGCTGGCTTTGGCTGGCAGCTTGCAGAAGTTTCCCTTCTGCAGGGGTGCTGTTGGTTATCTCATGATCCTTGGGATGGAGTTTTCCAACCTACAAGTCACCCACATTGTGAACTCCTCCCCCTCCCTGGCCCCAAACAACAGAAACACACACTGGTGGGTTTTGTGATCATGAAGGTTACATTGTTTAAGCTATCTTAACTCTTGGGGATCCAGGTGTCCTGAACAGGGGACTTCTCACATTGCCCTGCATTGTTGAGGGATAGCTGTTTTCTTGTGACTTGCCTAGGTGCCATCTGTCTTTAAGTCAAAGACTATGTAGGGGGCCGGGCGCGGTGGCTCACGCCTGTAATCCTAGCTCTCTGGGAGGCCGAGGCAGGCGGATTGTTTGAGCTCAGAAGTTCGAGACCAGCCTGAGC